ATTAATATATTTCATAATTATTGTTGATCTTCGATATCTTTGTAAACGTACTGTATTGAAAAGGTGCATGTTGTAAGCAGTATTTACATACTAGCTTTTTGTACCGTCCATTTCAATCTTCTTTCAACAGTACGTTGTTTATCTTTATATTCATAATTGTGTTTGTATTTAAATCCCATACTTTCGCAAAGAAGTTTGCAATACTTCCTGCCCAAGGGAACCGTCATTACTAGCTACTATGAACAGTCTATACCAAGAGTGCACAGTTTAAAGAATCAGTTTGATCCTGGAAGACATTGACACCTCACTCGATAAATACTCTTTCAAGAACTTCAAGAGATTGCAGATGGATATTCGAGTGTGAATTTATACATTTATTGGATTTAACCAGGAACAATTGCGAACATCGTCCCTCTGGGACTAACAGTTTTATACTTGTTTAATTTAACATTTTATTGCTGCCTGACAAGAACTTAATATGTATGAAACTTCTTGTATATGAATTTGTTCATGCACTTTACATAAATTGCCTTCAAAGACATGCTACTATAATTGGGTGCCTCTTTTTAAAATTTTGCTGCAGAAGACTTTCTTTATTAAAACACTTCACTTGATTATTCGTATATATTGACGAACTTTTTAATTCAATCATTTCTGTTCATCATAAACGTAGAAAACTTTGTAACTGGTTATAATTGGGATTTCGTTAAAGTAGGGGTTTAGGTTAGGACTTAAGTAGGTTTAGGTTTAGGGGAGGGGGGTAAAGGGTTAGAAATGACTGGGATGATGTACAGAATTGAGCACCTGTACATTCTTGAAATGTCCCATATAGTCTCCCGTGTCTAACCAAACTCCTTTTTGGAAAGGTGTGTTGTGGAAAGGCGAATGATTGGCGCCTGAAAACCAGTCTGCTCACTGTTCATGTCCGGAATCAAATATTTGCCATAATGTAGAAATTGTGGTAGTTTGATTCCTAGGCATGCTGATGAGCCCTGACATTGGGCGAAACAGTGCTTAATATTAACTCTCTGTCTTGATTGCTTTTCAATCATGGAAGTTTCCTTCCAAGAAACAAGAACAATGGACCTTCTCATTTGTGATCTATCTTTTAGGTAATTCAGAAACAAATCACGACAGCTTATTGAAGAATACTACCTACACTGGACCACCTCGTTTGAGATCTCTTTCAAGTAGTTCAGACACAAACCACGACAGCTTATTGTAGCATACTACCTACACTGAACCACCACCGCGTTTGAGATATCTTTTTCAGGTAGTTCAGACACAAACCACGACAGCTTATTGAAGAATACTACCTACACTGAACCACCACGTTTGAGACGTCTTTTTCAGGTAGTTCAGACACAAACCACGACAGCTAATTGTAGAATACTACCTACACTGGACCACCACGTTTCAGATATCTTTTTCAGGTAGTTCAGACACAAATCAAGAAACGCAGTCCTGTCTGAAGAAAGACGAAAAATGTCACTACGATTCAAGGCAAAGAAATTGCAACCATCAAGACGAATGGAACAAACAACCGCAACAGCAAGAAATGACGCAATTAATGATGAAGAGATGTTGGAAAGAACGCCATAACATATATTCTTAAACATGATGGACATGAGAACCTCGGACTCTAGATAGTTAAAGTAAGCCTGTTAAGGATTTCCTGCGCGAGACACTATCTAAATATTTTTTGGGCGAACAATATACATTATTATACATTTAATATGTATTCTCGTTCCTAATTGGTCAGAAAGCACCGGCTAATTTTCAGTATTCGGCATTTATTACGTATTTTCCGCCGATGATGTCATCAGCGTCCAATAATAATACTTGCATCCAAAAAAAATTATTGGACTCTCTCGTGCTCAAGCCCTTGCGCGACCAAAAGCTTGAATAAGCGCTAAACAAACAAACAAACAATGGCCTACAGCAGATTTGCTTCGCTGAATGAAAGTCCAGATTATTGGCAGATAAGTATAGTGAAAGCACGAAAAAAGCCAGAGGTAAATAGAAGTCGAAATAGAATATTTAGCTGACCTTTGAGTGCAAGGTGTTTGATATTCAAATTGTACTTTAAGGAAAAGTACCGGCTACTTTTCCTACCTCATGAACAGGAATCGTTTTATGCGTTTCTCATGTCTTTATAAAATGTATATTTATTGGATTCGAAACCATTATTGGATTCGGCTTTCGCATGATATCAAAAATTATTCAGACCTCGGTCTATGTTATCTGCCTCAGCTTCGCTTCGGCAGATAACATTGACCTCGGTCTGAATAATTCTTGATATCATGCTCAGTCTCATCCAATAATTGCTTATTTTTAATTTAATAGTATAAAGCAACGTCTTCAACTCGGAATGCTATAGTGTGTCGGCTTTGACAGCCTGTTAACTTAAAAAAAATGTAATTTAAAAAAAAAAATGTTCATAAACTAAAATGTAGTTCATCTCCTGACAAGAATGATTGTTTATTCTTTGACATCAGCCTTTCTGGACCTTTAGGGAGAACAGTTTGGAACTGATAGAACTATCCAGTATAAATAAAGTTTGTTTATTCTTTGACATCCGCCTTTCTGGACCTTTAGGGAGAACAGTTTGGAACTGATAGAACTATCCAGTATAAATAAAGTTAGTTTAGGTTTCTTCCTGTAGTAACACTGGATCAATAAGAGATGATCCTTACTGGACCTCTAGGAAGAACAGTTTAGAAATGATAGAGCTATCCAGTATAAATAAAGTTAGTTTAGTTTTCGTTTCTTCCTGTAGTAACACTGGATCAATAAGAGATGATCCTTACTGGACCTCTAGGAAGAACAGTTTAGAAATGATAGAGCTATCCAGTATAAATAAAGTTAGTTTAGTTTTCGTTTCTTCCTGTACAGCACTACATGGGTCAATACGAGATGGATCTTACTGGACTTAATAAATATAGAGATGAACAGTTTAAAACTGATAGAGCTTTCCAGACGTTTAGGGTAGCAGAATACTTTATAGTTTAGGTTCCCTCCTGCAATAACACGTACTGGAACAATTAAACAGCTGAACTTATAAGGCTGTCCAGAACAAGTAAAGTTGGTTTAAAGCATCGGTAGCAATAATAGATACGAGGTTTTCCATGGAGCTCTGGAAAGATCAATTATTCACGTTGTATTTTGTATCTAAATTTTAGTATTTTATTATTAATGTAGCTCCTTCAGATGAAAGATGTTCTTATCGTGGGTAACCCAACCAACAAAATAAATCTGCCATGTGCTCAGAAAGAAGCAGAGATGATAGCAGAAAAGTTGAGAGCAACACCGTTGTTGAAAGATTCTGCAACTCGCAGTGAAGTTCTATGTCGACTTTCACAAGCACCCATAATCCACTTCGCGTGTCATGGTACGTTTGATGGAAGAAGCTTGGAGCTTGCACCGGAACAAGGCAATAACAAGTAAGTAACAAAAGGTTAGGCTACAGGGACCTTTATGTTTAAATTAATTAATGTATGTACACAAATTTGCAATGGAAGATGTTTATCAAAGTGTGCGACATTGTTTCAAAATGTTTCCCAGAACGCAAGTTCCAACAATTTTTCCAATATGTTTCCTAAGTTTTCATTTTCTCGTTACTTAGTGCTGAAATGGCAAAAGAGAGTTACCTTATCTGTGGAAGACATCTCAAACCTTGGCTTACAAGCTAACATGGTGGTCCTGAGTGCTTGTCATACAGCCCGGGGCAAGATCAGCAGCGAGGGTGTGTTGGGTCTAGCCCGTGCCTTCCTGATGGCGGGGGCAAAATCGGTGGTTACTGCACTATGGGCAGTGAATGATGATGCGACTGAGAAATTTATGTTAAAGTTTTACGACAACCTCTCCTCTGAACCGGTCGTGAATTCCTTAGCAACCACAATGTGTGAAATGAAACAAGAAAAGTTTGAAGTGGCTCAATGGGGTTCATTCAAGGTTCTGGGTGCAAATGTCAAAGTGTTTTCTAACATTTCTGATCATAATTAGAATTTTAGTTTACTGTAATATATGTAATGTAGGGTTGGGCGATATTTCGATATTTTTATTAATCGCGATATTTTCAATCATGATTATCATATCGAAGGTAGAAACATGAGCGACGATATATCGAAATTATCGTCATGCTCCATGACTATCGTGATATTGCTTCACATGTGTATATAGGTGTTATAAAATCCTAAAAAATTCTTTCAATTCCCTAGAAAATATAGTTTTTAAAAGAATTAAAACTATTTCCTGAATTAAATACGAATTTAATACGATACAAAAGCAAATATTTATGTATTAATCTGCTGAACAATGGAATCCAGGCTTTGCTTGCGCTGTGTGCCCACGGCATTTGTGCCAGCGGAGACATAGTAGACACTGCATAGACAGTTCTGGTTTATGAACAGTAAATATTAGACTAGAAAAAGCCTCTTATTGTTGTTTTACTTGTTTTTAATAAGATTATATATAAGCTTACTATCCAATGATATTATTTAAAATTGAAAAATATGGTCATGTTTTTATTGCATTTATCGCGATATTATCGAATATCGTTATAAGCTATAAACGATTCCCAGCTTATGTGACCAACGAGAGACACATCAAAGACGCAAAAAACAACACACAATCGATCAAATATATTTATTTCTAC